TGAGGCGCAGCTGAGTATGTCACTGATGTTCAACTTGGAATCTATTTGTTAAACTGGTAACCTGGTAAAAATACCACTGGACAGTCGAGGATGCCAGGTACTTACAGGGGTGGTCTTTGTAGGTCTACCATACCCTTGGTCGGCCATATAATGTTCTACAGTGACTTTATCATTGACTTCAGCGCAGATTAAGGCATCGGTGCCATCCTGAAAACAAGTAAATAACAAACAGTGCTGTCAACAATCTAATTATTATCACCAGAACAGAAATGGCTCTTTTTTCGTTGCATGACAGAATGATATTCTGCAGTGATTGTCGTGGGGGTTAGGACCAGTTAGCCCTTTAACTCCCAAGATCTCATTTAGTAATTCTCTGACATACAATTCTTATGATGTTAGTTCTGAAAATTTGTTATTGGATTAACTAATAATTGAAATTTTTCTTGATCCTCAACACTTTTCTGTTTCATATTGTATTGATATGGTAGGGAGGAGTTCTGTCTTGGTCACTCATGGGAGTTAGAGGGTTACAGAGATTACTGAAGTAAGTAAGAGGAAAGATAGAAATTAAACAGGAACCTTCACTGGGTAGTATGCAGCCTGAACTGCAGATCACCTGTTTAATCAAGTTATGACTGGGGTCATACTTCCTTCTGATTAGTTGAGTTTTTTTGCCAATCACAATCACTGTGTATTCCCAGAAGTCAATCAATGGCTGCCTTGGATACTTAGCATATGAAATTTTGCCAACATATTGTGACGTCATAACATGACGTATAAATCTGACAAAGCACTGTGGCTTGAAAAAGAAACAATAATGTTACCTTAAATCACAAGCTTAACATTTCAATAACTACAATAATTTTTTTCTCACCATCTTGTCCTTTTCATTGTTAAAACCAATGGCCACCCATTGTTTCTTAGCGCTAAGCTCAAATTCCACTTCGCCTGACTCTCCCTGGTCCCCCGTGGGTTTCATGGTCACAAGATAATCACAGTCTTTGCTAGACTTGCAGTTTGCAGGCTCAGAATAGCAGCTCTTTGTCTTCCTGCACCCATCTTTGGTTATCTTTAGTAACAAGAACATGAGAGCAAAACATTTATGAATGACACTCATGGTTTACTTGTGAGTTAGGTCATTTACATACGGTTCTTCAATTTTCCTCTTTATTCCAACAAAGATAAAAAGTATTA